AGTAGTTACTGGATTGAATCCATAAATTATCTCGAATGGAGAATAACCTGTAGTGGTGTGGGTAGATCTGTTATAATTAAATTCCACAAAAAGTAAACATTCTTCCCAATTACATGTGTTCTTACATACCATAGTTCGGACTAAAGAACCTAGAATCCGATTGATTACCTCATTTTGTCCATCCGTTTGTGGATAACAAGTGGTGGAATAAAGAAGTTTTGTACCAATCTTACCCCACAATACCTTCCAGAAGTGGCTTTTAAACTTTATGCCACGATCGGACATAATCTTACCCCACAATGCGGTTCTCACTCAACCACATTATAAATCTTTTACAGATCCAAACGAATGCCTTTTATGGCTATTACATGGCCAAAGAAGGACACTTCCACTAACCAAAACCTATATTTACTACACTTTGTGTATAATTGGCATTCTTTAAGTGTCTAGAGGACAATACAGAGATGACAATCATGATCTTCCTCTGACTGAGAATATTCCAGGATGTCATTGGTGAACACTATTACAAATTGATCCAAGTAAAGGTGAAAAATTGATTCATTTGATCCGTAAATGCTACTAGTGCATTAGTAAGTCAAATTTGAACACATTCTTCGCTACATCGATCTCCTTAACCATTAACTGATATTACCCAACCTTAAATTTATCTTAAAGAATACCCTAGCTCCTCTAAGCAGGTCGAATAAATTGTCCATCTGCGGAACTGGATACCGATTCGTAATCGTTAACTTGTTGAACTAACGATAGTCAATGCAAAACCTCATCGAATCATCATTCTTCTTTATGAAAAATATCGATTGCCCCCACGAAGATATTCTCAGGTGAATAAACCCTTGGTCTAACATTTCCTAAATATAGGCCTTGAGTTCTTTCAATTCGGTCAGTGCATTACCTTAAGGAACGATGGATACCGGGGTCGCTCCTGGCAATACCTCGATGCTAAATTCAAACTCATGATCCAACGGTAAGCCTAGCAATTCCTTCAAAAATAACTAAAGAAAGTCTCTCACAGTACAATTATCATTAAACCTCGAGCTCGGGACTCTAGTGTCTATCACATGGGCTAGGAATGCTTAACAACCTCAACTAATCAATCTCTCAATAGCTAAGGCCGAGATGATCCTAGAAGTGCCACATAACTCATCACTAGCCATTACGATCTTAGTATCATCTTTACGCCTAAGATTGAATTGCCTAGCCTTACATTTTAAACTCGCATCATGCTTTGGTAACTAATACATTCCTAGGATCAAATAAAACTCTAAAAAAGGTAATACTATAAGGTCGGTAGAAAAATTTTGACTCTAAACTTCTATTAGAAATCTACGGTAGACCTTGTCCTCAAGTACATCTAGCCCTAAAGGGCTCGAGAACCTAACCTTGATCTCTAGGTCTTCGATTGAAATACCCCACTCTTGGACAAGTTCATAACATATGTACGAATGAGTAGAACCTGAATCAATTAAAGTAGAAACATGAGTGTCGAAAATAGTAAAGATACCTAAAATGACATCTACTGGCTCAGACTTCTCCTAGGCCCTCACTGCGTACTACCTTGAGGCAACCTTAGTCTCTAGTCCAGCTACAGATCTGGAATTGCCCCAACTCTGATGCCTCAACATTGAACTACCACCCCTACATACTGATCTTCGGTCCCTCTGAACTGATTGAACTATCCTTTTAGCAATCGGTGGCACTACATTCCCTGCCTCATGATAGTCTCGAATGTAATGCTCTAGTGAACCATAATCAAAGCACGTCTCTGAAAGTCAATGGAACTCTTTAGTGTGCCACTTTCCGTAATGCCTAGACAAGAAAGGTTATACCCCTCTACATGTTAGAGTATGCCCAAAAACCAATCATACGATGATTATACGGACATATTTTATTTACCAATTTTATTGAATAAAGGCATTGCCACTATTATTTTTAGTTATATATTTCTTTCTAACATAAAATGAAAGATAATAAAGTCCATATAATAATATGATTATTATTAAATATCCTTAGTTGAATATTATTATGGGTATGGACAATAATAATATGTTTAAGACTAACACGTTATTGATTGATGATAATGAATTGTCATCGACATAGAGATGTCAGAATCGATGAATCAATATGATGTTAGAGAATGATATATTGATTTGACCCACTATAAGCATATGTCTTGGATTATTATGTGATGGTCACAACATTGCTCATGGTGATGACTATATGTATGATCCTCAAACTTGAGATCATTACTATCTCAACATATATTGTTATATGTTTTAATACAGTTAAACATGTTCTGTAACTAGTTGCACTATAAAGACTGATATTAAACATATCTTGATATATGTAGTAGGATGTGAATAACTAAGAAATAATTTATCCTTCCTACATAATATGAAAAATATCAAAGGTCACTATATTGAGTGAGACTAGCAATACATGGCCATGCTCGAATAAGTTGATATGAGATATTATAAATTATTTGTTAATTATAGTCTACTCTAGATATTAAGAAATAATAGATGGGTCATACAATTGTGACTATTCCAAGACTTGTGTCTATTCTAGAGATAAATGACAAAAATGATGTAATAAATAAAAGAATCAGTCACGAAGATGATATGTCAAATCATGATTTCTTGTAACTTAGGTGACAGTGATATACTGCTAGATGTCACTCATTGTTTATAATATTAGAATGGTTCTAATAATTACTACTAATGCTACAAGAACCTAAAGGGTCACACGTTAAGGTAGAAATGAGAAAATATTAAATGGATTTTATTGTACAATATAATCAGAGTTAACACTACAAGAAAATATACCTTTAATGACACACGAACGATGACACGTGCTAATTTATGACTTACAAAAAATGTGTCCTAAAAAATGTCGTGTTTTTTAAAATCTGAACGATTTATGACTTACAATAATGTGTGTCATATTTAATAGTCATAATCCAAAAAATTTGCAAAAGCACGGAGTACACTTTTTAATTGTGTGTCATCTGTAAAAGTCATTTTTTAATTTCCCCCATTATTTTCATTCTTTCCCACTTCTTCTTCCTCTACCAATTTCACTTACTTCCATTACGCATCTGCTTTCTCAATTTTCACTCCAAATGCCGTTGTAGACCAAACACTTTCTCATTCTCATCAACGTTTCTACTCCTCATCGGTGGCGCCCTCTCCCTCTCCCTCATCGGACTCCATTTTAAAGCTAGGGTTTCTCGCTAACAAATCTGATGCCTTTTGACCTTTAACTTTCAAAGCTAGTGATGTGATCTAGCTGGCTATTCACTACGGTCGGTGTTACTAGGAGCTCTCTGAGGCTCATCTCAGGTCAAACCTCAATTAAGATATTTAGGCAATTTTTGAAGGTTTGATTAAAAAAGTTAACTTTTTTTGGGTGGTTTCATTTACTAGTATACTGGTGGTGGCGACTTCGGGGACTGGATATGTTCTAGGGAGTGGAGACGTCGTTGATTTGGCGGGCCTTTGTTGTACTTGTGCTGGAACCATGATGGTTACTGCTTCGGGTAATTCGTTGAATCAGGTTGTCTTTTAAATATTTGATTGTTTTCATTGAATGCTTTGTCATGCACAAATATCGAATGCTAACTAATAGGTTATTTGTCATGGACAATCTTTTAAATCTTTTCTTGAGGAGTTAAGGGTTCTTAGATATTTGATAAAATTATTCTTTCTTAGATATTCGGAAGTATGTTTTGTAAAGAAATGTGAACAAATTGGAGAAAAACATTATTATTCTTGAGGTTTGTCTTTCATGTAATTCTTTCATAACAAAAGATGCACCTTTTAGGTGCAAAAGCTTGCACTTTTGTAAAGGCCCTTATGTTTTGACATTCTTTTTTCTTTCCTTTTTATTAACCTTGGTAGAAACTAGGACCAGGACGGATGTACAGACATAGCTTTTAGGTGTAAAAGCTCATCGGTTATGATTTAAATCCATCGAAATAGCTTTATTGATAGAAGTGATATATAAGTACCCTGGCAAAAGGGGATAGAGAAAGAAACAATTATAAATTATTTGATATTCTAGGAATCGAATTCATAACTTGCAAATTGTAATTTCTTCTTACCTTCTTTCTTGAACACTATGTTTTTCTTACATTTAAGTTGGCCAATGTTGCAAGGATGTGACAGCATGGTGGTTGTATTTTAAGTTACTTTCATGAATTAACTAGATAGATTGACATTTCAGTTAACCAATGGTATTCATGCCTCTAGGTTTTTGAGATAAATAATGATGGAAAAATGAAGCGAACAAAGCTAAGATCTCTACCTTAAGGACGCATTAGGCAAATTAAAAATTAGTTTCGGTCGATATTGCTTTGAAAGGACTCGGTGCTATTCTATTTGTATTTGGCTATGGCTTTGGAGTCTTCCTCCTGGTGAGATTTTTGTTTCTTAAGAGTGATTATTTTGGTTCCGTTTGAACTATGAAGTTATATGTTAATTCCATCGAGCAATTACGTTTGATTCTACTTTCGTGTCTCATCTAATTGTTCTTTCCTTTGTCGTAGTTTGTGTATTTGCTGGTTAGCACTCCTCTTCTCTATGAATTCTACAACTATCGACCTGAAGAGCCCCAGTACACTGCTATGCTCGGTGATTTTCTACAGGTATTTGCATGTCCATATCCGAAGTGTTTCCCTATGCATTACGAAATACAACGTGCAAACTTCATTGATTCTTTCATTAATGGCAGTCTGTTGTGCAATGCGTTGCATTATTATTCTTCTGGGGGATGAAGAGCTTGATCACAAACATGCAACTAAGGAAGAAAGTCGTGAAGCCGAAAACTGCTTAGATATATCGAAGTGGTAGCAGGTGAAGATTGTTGATTTGCAGTGCCAGGTAATATTTTACAGGATTATCCTTTACTGAACCGAACTTAATTTTACTCCAACCCTTTACATTTCAATTCCCTCTCGTTCAACGAACAACGGATTTAAAGACTTCTTACTGTGGAACGTCTCCGAAAGAATTCTTCGTGGAAACCGTATGTACTTAACATATTTGATTGTTTTCTTTTAGTTTTCTTTTATTTATTATTTATGTGGATTTAAAGACTGGTTCAGGTATCTTGATATGCTTCCCACCACTTTTGGGAATCCGTTATGGTTTACTGATGATGAGATACTGGAATTAAGAGGAACAATCTTGTATAGAGCAACTGAATTGCGGGTAAATATAAACATATAGTTTAACGTTTCTATTGAAGATGAAATGCATGTAATTTGACTACCCATGATGATGAAAGATAGTGTAATTATTTTATAGAAAAAGGATTTGATTTTTGTGTAAGAAGATAAAGTAAAGGGTTTGGTGAAGAAACTTCTTGCTATTGATGGAGTTTCAGAAAGGTCGATATTAATTACATCGAATAAAGTAGGAATCAAGTGTGTTTATTTTCCTTTTTCCCAATTATGAATTGTTGTTAATGCTTCTTTTGCAGTGAGGTCTGCTTTGAAGATTTCCTTTGGTAGGGATCTCCTCAAAATGAACTCTTTCTTATTCTCTCTCAAAATGGGGTGGGTGGGGACAATGAAAGAGATTGACTATGATATGATGACATTCCTTGCATTTCAAACTTTGGTGGTTAATACTGTGTGATTTCTGTAATGCTAGGGCGAATTCTATATTTTGGTCTCGTGCTCTGAACCTTCATCTTCCACATTCTTATGTATTTTCCCAAATTCAAGAAGATACCGAGACAACCTGTCCAGTTAAAAGGAGTTCTGAGGTGACCATCAGTTATAGTGGACTAAGTGGAGAGCCTGTTAATGAAATTGATAGAAAAAGTGAGGTTACACTTTAGTTCTTACCAATTTTGTGCCTGGATCTTTCCTCTTATTTGCTTTCACGGGTGAAAGTTTATTATATTAACATGGAGCTGAGGTTAAAGATTTTTATTTATTTTGGGTTTATATCAGGATTTAAGGGTTATGAGACTGATAACAAAGTCAATGGAGCAACTTCCACATCGAAACAAGAAGAAACTCTCTGGGTGGAGGGTCTTCTCCCTGGCATTGACTTTTGCAACCATGGTATGTTAGTTTTATTAGTCAGTGGCTCTCTAGTCAATTGGTTAGAGTATATTCTCATTGAATTTTTTGGTTGTTAATTTTATATTTAGACTTGAAGGCAATGGCAACATGGGAAGTTCCTGTCCCAAAGGTAAGCATTAATGCATTATTATTTGTAATCAATAAGCTTAATTCTCAGTATTATTGGAAACGTTGTTTAATAAAATGTAAGTTCCACTGTCAATATGCCTTTTGTTCCTAATATTTTCTGTGTTGTTAATTAGTTCCCTTTGTTTGGCGCTCTGTTGCTATGCTTTTAACTGATCTATGACTTTCTTTTTTTTCCCTTTATGATATCTTATGTGTATTCTATTTTTCATGCATATAGCATCGCAAGCCTATTTCAAAGTTAAATTACTATTAATAGTCTATTCCTGAGGACATTTAACTTATATGTGACTTCTGTGGTTACCAGCTAATCGGTGTGTAATTTAGTAATCTAATTTGCTAAATCAGTGCGATTGAGTAATTCATGTTTCCATACTTTATGCATTATTGTCTGTCTTTCCCACCTTAGAGGGATTGTAATTGGAGTTCTATGTGCCAAGGTGGGTATTTGAGTTGTATTATATTTCCCGTTTGGAAGTTGTGAATTAAGCATGCTGATAAACATAATTGAATTATTTTGATTCTTAGTTTTGACATAATTGGATTGCTTAGCGTTGTACTATTCTTGTTCCTTATCACTTCATTTTCAATTTTCTTGCAGATATACAATGAGCAAATAACAGATTTATTGGATCCAAATCAAAGAAACCTGCAGGTAGAATGGATTTTGTGCTATAATTTTGGGAAAGGGTTGGGAACATCTGGTACATCTGATGTCCCTGAAGCCAATGCTCATTCGCAGCCTGTTTCAAGAGTTCTCGACTCTGAAGAAGCAACTTCAAAATTGCAGAAGAAGCTAGAGGAGTTGCATCTAAGATCTTATAATATGTTAGTATCTTCTTGTGATAATCTGAGAACATTCTTGGTTTTTTGTTTTTAAATAGCTATAGGTGATGGATATTATGTTTGTAACTTAATGTGAATATATTGTATGCAAATGGATTGCTTATATATAATATGATATATATATTTAGTATTACGAGGCATTAAATATGATTTAGTTTGATTATTTGTTAATATACAATATATATATATAACAATAATTTACGAAATACAATCACGACACACGAATGTGTGTCATCTTTTTTAATGGTGTGTGCTTCAATGACACGCAATGTAAGTATACATGCGTGTCATAAATTTATGACACACAAATGTGTGTCATCTTAATTTATGACGGGGGCTTCAATGACGCTCAATGAATATCATAAATGCACGTTATAAATGCGTGTCATAAATGCGCGTCATAAATTTATGACGCACAGTTGCGCATCATCTTAAATTCTACTAGTGTAATATATGTATATTTGATATACATATAATTTAATTTTCCCCGAATAAAATAAGTGAACATTAAAAGAATGTAATTTTGATTACAACTCTTTTAATAAATATTTAATTTGAAATAATTAAATTATCTTTTAATTAATTTAGAATTATAAACCCCAAAGGCTATGGTAACTCCTTTATATAAAGATAAGCAAGGGTCTAACAACCATTTGATTTTTTTAGCTATTTTTTCTCAAAACCTTTTTAGGAAAAAGTGAAAAATATTTGCTCTCGACCGAGTGAACTAAGTAGAGGTTGAGACATTTTTGTGGAGGCTTGTGATTCGAATCGTTCATGATCACTATTTCCATTACTACAATCTTGTTGATTTTCAAGGAACCCAATATAAATAATCGTATCTCTTTCTTCCTGTTTTCAGTTTTATAGTACAAGGATTGCTGGTGAGATCATCAAGTTTATTTCTACTGCATTGATAAGTGCTTAATTTAGTTAACATTTTGCTTTTAAAATACTCCTTAATCATTGGTTTTTGTGGCTTAATTATTCATTTTCATTCATTTTCTGTGCATGACTTGAGATTTTGGAAATTGCAATAAAAAGAAATAATTTTGTAGCTTTTTTATTTTCGGAATCAAAGCTGAATTAGTGGGCATGAATTCAAACATGAAACATCCGACGAGGCGATGACGTCAGCACCTTCTAGAATAACCAGTCAGTATTTCTAGAAGAACGAATGAGTTGGCCGCATGTTTCTGGAATACGGATTTGGATTAAACTCAAGTTTAGGATAATATTTTAAACATTATATTTTATCTTTGTATTTTAGTTTAAATAGATGTTAGTATTTCAATTAGGATTAAGAATATTATTTTAAATAATATTTTAGTTTACCTTTTTTTAGGTATTTTAGTTTAAATAGTTTTAAGTGTTTTTATTAGGATAAAAGATATTATTTTAGGAGTTATCTTTAGCTTATTTTTAGGAATTTGAAGGCTATAAATACCCTCTAAGGGTGAGCATAGAAACATATCTTAAATATTCTTTTTCTCTCTAGCTTTCTCTCTATTTTGCACCTACTTCTTTGTTTTCTTTTAGAATTTTATTTTCAATTATGCTAAGTATGACATTGGTCATGCTTAGCTAATTTTCTTTTAAGCCGAAGGCTAAAGCGAAGGCTCAATTACAAACGTTAGAATTGTAAGGCACTTAAATCACTTCAGATTTCTCTCTCTGTTTTCTGATCTTACTTTTCAAATCAAAACGATTTCGACAATGGTCCGGATGTCGTTATGGTTAATGTTTGAAGAAGGATTTACTTATTGAAGCACATTCGACTTCCTAAGAACACACTTAGCAAAATTGTTTGCTAAAGAGGAAATTGAGATTGGAATATGTTATTGTTGAAACAACACAATCCGAGTTGGAAGGGAAGAATTGTCCTTGTAAGCCGACATGAATCTTAAAGTAAAAATATGTTTCGATGATTCTAGGAATTTGAGTCAAAGCTGAAGTCTGAGGCTACTTTCACTATAAGTTTCTCTTTATCTCAATCTCTTTAAATTATTTATTTGATTATTTTCTTTTATTTAATTCTTATTTTATTTTAAAACCAACTTTTAAAAACCTCCTTTTATCTTTATAACTATTATTTATTAATTTATTATTTTTCCCTTTTTATTTACCATTACTTATTTTATTATTTTTTCTTTTAAAATTAAAATTATTTATTTTATTTCAAACTTCATCTGGAATTCTATCCTCCTATAAATCAAAGAGTTTTACTAAATCACAAAAACCATAGTCCTTGTGGATTGACCCTTCTTATCTATACTACCTCTTCCTTTCTATTTATTAAGAAGCCGGAATTATTTTGATAGAAAAACGACGTTTATTAAATTGGCATCGTTTCTAGGGACTAACGATAAGTACTGATTTATTTTTCTACTTTTTAATTTATGACCAGAAGAAACTCAGGTGAATTAGTAGATCTAGATCCAGAGATCGAAGCACAAGCACGAAGAATCCCCATACAAACGCTTCAAGAAAAGAGAAAAATATAAGAAAAACAAGAGCAGAGTTCAGAAATAGAATCAAATCTGGAGACAGACTCTGAAGCAGACGCATACAACATCCCGATGGTAGAAGGAGAACAAATAATTCGAGAGCTAGCCACAACTCCTGTCACTCAGACACCATTATGCATCAATTTTCCTAGTGGCGGAACTCCGTTTCAATTAAAGACGGGACTCATTCATCTTCTTCTCACCTTCCACGGGAAGTTACCGAAGATCAAATTAAATTGAGAGTTTTCACTTTCTCTTTAGCCGACTTGGCCAAAGATTGGTTATTTTATTTACCTCCAAATTCAGTTAATTCATGGGCTGACATGAATCGATTTTTTCTTGACAGGTTCTTTCCAGCGGCTAAAACAAGCGAGTTATGAAGGATCATTCTTTCCATTCAACAAAAGACCGAAGAAAGTCTTTATGACTATTGGGAATGATTTAAAAAAATTTGCGCACATTGTCAACAACACGGATTAAGTGAGCAAACGTTACTTCAATACTTTTATGAAGGCCTTTTACCAATGGAGATGAAAATGGAGAATGTCGCCAGTGGAGGAGCATTAGTCAACATGACTCCAACAAAAGCAAGGGAATTGATTTCAACCATGACAGCCAACTCTCAATAGTTTTCAAGTGAACCCAACCGACGGGTTCACGAGGTAAGTACTTTTTCCCTTGAGAATAAGTTAGACAAATTAATTGAAGTAGTTAATTCACTTGTTGCAGGAAAATCTGGAGCAACAAGAGCATGTGGGATATGCACCAAGCTAGACCATTCGACGGATTGCTACCCGCTGATACAAGAAGGAGGCAATGCAGAAATCAATGTCGTGGGGAACATTCCAGGCCCTCCACAAAGACAATATAATCCATACAACAATACTTATAATCAATGATGGTGAGACCACCTAAACTTCAGCTATGCGGCAAATCAAAAACCAATTTATCAACCAAGACCTCCTCCTCAATAGCAAACGCAAAAACCATCATTGGAGGAACTCAAAGGAAAGTTAGCAAGTTCACAAGAAAAGTTCATTGTATCCCAAGAAAAATTCCAAAGTCGAACCGTAACACATCTTTAAGAGTTAGATAACCAAGTAAGCCGCCTAGCTCAAACTGTGGGAAAATTAGAATCACAAGGAATACTACATTTTTAAACGGAGTTAAATCCAAGAGAGAATGTTAGTGCCATCACACTTCGAAGTGGGACAATTATCTCACCCCAAGTTCCAGCAGAAAAAGTCACACATCAGAAAGAACAAGAGGACATGCCACCTTCAGAAATACAAGGTACGTCTGACTCACATCATTCTCTTTCTTTTCATGAAATCATGCCACCACCCTTCCCATCAAGGTTGATGAAATTTGATAGAAGAGCTGAAGAAAGGGAGATCTTAGAGGTGTTCCAAAAAGATCAAGTCAACATACCTCTTCTTGAAGTAATTTGACAAGTACCAAGGTATTCTCGATTTTTAAAGAACTTTGCACTACAAAGAGAAAATTAATGGAGCACAAAAAGGTAAATTTAGGAGAATGTCTCTGTAATGTTTTCAATGAAAGCTCCCACTAAATATGAAGAATCAAGGTATGTTCGCTATACCTTGCAAAATAGGTGATTTTAAAATTAAACGTTCAATGTGTGACTTAGGAGCTTCAATCAATGTTATGCCATTTTTTATTTATAAAATGATTACTAACAAGCCTTTGAAGGAAACAGGAATAACCATACAGTTGGCTGATCGTTCTGTGATCTATCCAGTAGAAGTAATGGAAAATGTCTTGAGAAAGGTCGATGTAATATTTTTTTCTTGCAGATTTCTATGTCATTGACATAGAACATGATAGGTCGGATTCTTATTTCGAGGTACTCTTAGGTCGACCCTTCCTAAGCACAGCACATACAAAGATTGATGTTAGAAGTGGCATACTAAAAATAGAATTTGATGTTTACAAAGCAATGAAATGCCCTGATCATGTTGAAAAAATTAATTCTGTTGATGTTATAGATCCTTTAATTGATGAATATATTGAATCTAATTTTTCTTATGATCTTTTTAAGGATCCTAAACTTTGTGACGAAGAGGAAGAAAGAGAGTTTGAAAATATTAATTTAATCAATTTTTAGTTATCTTTATCTTCCTCTAAAACTGAAATTTTACTTTCTGTTTTACAGGCACCTGAGATTGAATTGAAGCAATTACTAGAACAATTGAAATATGCCTTTTTGGGCAAAAATGAAACCTTACCAATGATCATCTCAAGTAAATTGTCCGAAAGAGAAGAGGAAGATTTGGTAGTAGTGTTGCGCTCTCACAAAGAAGCCATAGGATGGACCATTGCCGACATTAAAGGATTAAGTCCCTCGACTTGCATGCACAAGATCAAAGTCGAAGAAAGCCATCACGAGAAGGACAACGCCGATTAAATCCATCGATGATGGAGGTAGTAAAGAAAGAAATTCAGAAACTCCTTGATGCTGACGTAATCTATCTGATATCATATAGTAATTGGGTAAGTCCGATTCATTTGGTTTCCAAGAAAACGGGAATCACAGTGGTCAAAAATCAAGAAGGAAAGTTAGTGCCAACAAGAGTTCAAAATGGATGGCGAGTTTGTAATGATTACATGAAGTTGAACTCTCTTACTCGAAAAGATCATTTTCCTCTTCCTTTTATAGACTAAATGATTGAAAGATTAGCTGGGAAAACTCATTATTGTTACCTTGATGGTTTTTCAGGTTTTTTCCAAATCCCAGTAGCACCAGAGGATCAAGAAAAGACGACTTTTACTTGTCCCTTCGGTACATATGCATATAGAAGAATGTCCTTTGGTCTTTGTAACTCACCGACCACCTTCCAAAAATGCATGTTAAGTATATTTTCCGACTATGTGGAAAAAGGCATCGAAGTCTTTATGGATGACTTCACGGTTTATGGTAATTCTTTTAATGATTGTCTTGATAATTTAACTAATGTGCTTAAAAGATGCTTAGAATATATCCTTGTTTTGAACTATGAAAAATGTCATTTTATGGTTGATAAAAGGGTTAATTTTAGGTTATATTGTTTCCTCAAAAGGGATTGTGGTTGATAAAGCTAAAACATATGTAATACGTTCACTTCCTTACCCCGCAAATGTGAGTAAATTCGTTCTTTTCTTGTCCATGCAGGATTTTACTGCATGTTTATTAAAGACTTTTCGAAGATAGCACAACCTTTACGCAATCTACTTCAAAAAGATCAAGACTTTGACTTTAATTCAAAAATGTAAGGAGTCTTTCAATTCATTAAAGGAAAAGCTTATTTCAGCTCCAATTGTTTAGCTGCCATATTAAAATTACCCCTTTGAAATTATGTGTGACGCATCAGATACTAGCGTTGGAGTCGTTCTCAGTCAGAAAATAGGGAAAGAGCCACAAGTCATAGCCTATGATTCCCGAACTTTGGACTCGGCTCAGAAAAATTATTCAACTACGGAAAAAGAACTTTTTGTTATAGTTTTTGCTTTAGAAAATTTTAGATCTTATTTGTTTGGCACTAAAATTGCTATTTTTTATCATGCAACTATAATGCATTTGATGAGCAAAAAGGATGCAAAACCGAGGCTTATCCGATGGATCCTGCTTTTACAAGAGTTTAAATTGGAAATTAAAGACAAAAAGGGATGCAAAAATCTGGTAGTGGATCACTTGAGTCGAATTCCCCTTTCCACATCCGACCCACCACTTAGAGAAGAATTTCCTAAAGAAAAATTGATGGTGGCGCAAAACATAACCCCATGGTTTGCGGACATGGTTAATTATTTGGCCACAAGTAAGTTACCATTAGATTTGTCGAGAGCTGAAATCAATCGAATTAAGTGAGAACCCGATATTATATTTGGGATGATCCTTATTTATGGAAGCACTGCTCGGATCAGGTAATTCGACGATGTATTATCGAAAGTGAGGTAAATTCAATTTTACAATTTTGTCATTCTTACTCTTGCGGTGGTCATTTTGGGCCAAAACGTACAGCCCATAAAATTCTTGAATGTAGTTTTTATTGGCCTAACATTTTTCGGGACTCATATCTATTTTGTAAAACTTGTGAAAGATGTCAACGTACAAGTAATTTAAGTCGCATGAATGAAATGCCGCTTAATTCTATACAAGTTTGTGAAATTTTTTATATTTGGGGAATCGATTATATGGGGTCCTTTTATTTCGTCATTTGGAAATACTTATATTATTTTTGCTGTAGATTATGTTTCTAAATGGGTGGAAGCTAAAGTCACTCGGAATAATGATGCTAAAACTATAGTTATTTTTTTGAAAAATACTATTTTTTCCAGGTTTGGCATGCCAAGGGCTATAATAAGTGACAGATGAACACATTTCATAAACAGAGTGATCGAATCATTGATGAAGAAATTTGGAGTAACTCAAAGAATTTCTACCGCTTACCATACACAAACAAATGGATAGGCAGAAGTATCAAATCAAGAAATTAAAACAATTCTTGAAAAAATTGTTAAACCGATCCGAAAGGATTGGAGTTTAAAATTAACTGATGCACTTTGGGCATATTGAACCGCTTATAAAGGTCCCATTAGGATGTCACCATACCTTCTTGTTTTCGGTAAGCCATACAATTTACAAGTTGAGTTAGAACATCGAGCTTATTGGTCCGTTAAACAGTGTAACATGGTCATGGATGCAAATGGTGAAGCTCAGAAATTACACATTCAATAACTAGAAGAAATCCAAAGAAATGTCTATGACAGTGCTCAATATTTAAAGAAAAACAAAATAATTTCACGATAGTAGAATTTCTTTTAAAACTTTTTCTGTCGGTCAAAAGGTTTTATTATTAACTCCAAATTTAAACTTTTTGCAAGAAAACTCAAATCAAAATGGCTCGGACCGATTACAGTTACTCAAGTATTTCCTCACGGTGCTGTTGAAATTGAAGATAACTCATGATTTTGATTTAAAGTTAATGGTTAAAGATTGAAGTCGTATTATGAAAATGTCATGGTTGGTCTAATAGAAGAAATCAAACTAGACGAACCCACACTCTGAAAATTCAAGTCGTCGAGCTAACTACGTTAAACAAAAGCGCTTGATGGGAGGCAACCCATTTCGTTTTATTTTATTTTGTTTTTTTTCTTTTTATTTTTAGCAAACTTTATTTCAATCTATTTATTTTATTTATTTTTATTTTTTTATCATATTAGAACAATGAAGTGCAGGAAAAAAAATAGTACAAAAAACATATTTGGTTCGAATTGTGCAAAAAAAATTGGAACAGAACAATGCAGAAAAAACTGATTTGATTCGAACAGTGCAGAAAAATACACAGCAGATTCAAACAATGCAGTGCAGAAAAAAAAACCAATGCAGAAAAAAGATTTGGATCGAACTGTGCAGAAAAGTTTGAACAGAACAATGCAGAAAAAAACGGTTCGAATAGAGCAGAAAAATACACAGCAGATTCAAACAGTGCAATAAAATTTTAATATATCCTCTAGTGTCTTCTCGATCGGACATTCTACTCTACAATAGCTCATCTCGACATGGTCGTGGCCGCGGTCGCCACTAGATTGGAGAGTATTCATTTTCCCTCTCTTTGTGTTTCAATTTAATATATGTTTTGGGACAAAACAGAATAAGTGAGGGAGGGAAGGATAAGCATGTCGACGTAATTTTCCTTGACTTGTTTAATTGTTTGAAATTGATATGTTGGGATCGTTGGTTGCTAGTCTTGAATTTAGCATTATACTCCTGCTTCCTTTTGGATTGTGTTCATGTTTTGATCGAATTTAATTTGCATGATTGATGATTGGTATAGCTGGAGAATTATTTGTTGAGTGTTGATATTTCATTACTTTGTCGATAGAGATGAACTTGACTCAGTGCACATAAACTTTTCTTGTGAGATTTGAGCCTAACGAGTATATATTTTCTTTCTTGCTCATTGTTTGACTTGTGTGTGTTAGACTAATTAGGATGTTATAGAACTTGTAATCACAATGCATATCGAGACTACATGTTGAATGTAATGTTTTAATGTGATAGGGGCACATAGTATAAATCCACTTTTCCCAAAAAGCTGACCCGTTTATATATCCACTAATGAACCATATTTGAGCCTACTTCCCTTTCTTTGTTTTACACCTCATAATTAAACCTGAAACCTTTCTTTTTATTTTTCATCTCTTTTCACACCCTTACCGAGACTTGACATATTGTATCCCTCTTGTTCCACGAATAAAAAAAAGAAAAAAAATTCATTGTTTCGAGAAAAAAACAGCAATTTGTTCACTGTTTCAAACAGCAGAAGAAAAAAAACAGTCCTTGTTCGAAAAAAATTAAATAAATAAGGGAAGTAAAAATCGATCGTTTCAACTGTCTTTCATCTATTTTTCCTTGTTTTGTTCTTTATGCGCTTCATGTTAATTCGTAGATCCTTCTTAATTATTTTGTTATCTTGTTTCACTATTTTAAACCTTTCTTTTGGCCTTTTCCCTACCCTAACCTAAGCCCTGTTACACCTCTTTCAAAGACCCCTTGATTATTGCATTATGTTCATTTTTCGTAGTGGAGACTTGATTGGATTCCAATCCTATGGTAATATTTTGGTTAGTTTCGGTTTGAGCGGTTTCATTTACCCCAAACACTTTGAGCTGATATGTGTGAATCTTTGTGAGGTATTGAGTCATGTTTCATTGAAGTTGGGATGTCTTGTTTATGTTAAAATTTTCTTAGTTGTGCCTTTGCTTGATTGTAACTTGAATTCGACAAATATCATGAACTTAGTTCGATTAGAAGTTTGAGGAATAAATTGAAATTAAAGATGGCAACTTATGATTTTGATATGTTAATTGATTAATGCTTAAGGACAAGAATTGAATAAGTGAGGGGAATTTGATAAGTGTTTAATTTAGTTAACATTTTGCTTTTAAAATACTCCTTAATCATTGTTTTTTGTGGCTTAATTGTTCGATTTCATTCATTTTCTATGCAGGACATGAGATTCTGGAAATTGCATTAAAAGGAAAGAATTATGCAATTTTTTTATTTTAAGAATCAAAGCTGGATTAGTGGGCATGAATTCGGACATGAAACATCCGACTAGGCGATGACGTCAGCACCTTCTAGAAGAACCAGTCAGCATTTTTAGAAGAACGAATGAGTTGGCCGCACGTTTCTGGAATACGGATTTGGATTAAACTAAAGTTTAGGATAATATTTTAAACATTATATTTTATCTTTATATTTAAGTTTAAATAGATGTTAGTATTTCAATTAGGATTTAGGATATTATTTTAAATAGTATTTTAGTTTATCTTTATTTTAGGTATTTTAGTTTAAATATTTTAAGTGTTTTTATTAAAAAAAATAGATTATTTTAGGAGTTATCATTAGCTTATTTTTAGGAATTTGAAGGCTATAAATACCCTTTAAGGGTGAGCCTATAAACATATCTCTCACTTCTGAGAATTAAATCTTCTTTTTCTCTCTAGCTTTTTCTCTATTTTGCGCTTACTTCTTTATTTTCTTTTAGAATTTCATTTTCAATTATGCTAAGTATGACATTGGTCATGCTTAGCTAATTTTCTTTTAAGCCGAAGGCTAAAGCAAAGGCTCAATTCCAAACATGAGAATTGTAAGGCACTAAATCGCTTCGAATTTTTCTCTCTGTTTTCTGAGCTTACTTTTCAAATCAAAACGATTTTGATATTGGTCCAGATGTTGTTATGGTTATTTTCTTATTGAAGCACATTCGACTTCCTAAGAACACACTTAGCAAAATTGTTTGCAAAAGAGGAAACTGAGATCGGAATCTGTTATTGCTGAAACAACACAATCCGAGTTGGCAGCGAAAAATTGTCCTTGTATGCCAACGTGAATCTTGAAGTAAAAATTTGTTTCGATGATCCGAGGAATTTGAGGCAAAGCTGAAGTCTGAGGCTACTTTCAGTATAAGTTTCTCTTTATCTCAATCTCTTTAGATTATTTAATTATTATTATTTAATTATTTCTTATTTTTTATTTTTTATTTTTATTTTAAAAATAACTTTTAAAACCCCTTTTTTATCTTTATTACTATTATTTATTTATTATTTTCCCTTTTTATTTATTATTATTTATTATATTATTTTTTTCTTTTTAAATTATAATTATTTATTTTATTTCAAACTTCATTTGGAATTCTATCATCCTCTAAATCAAAGAGTTTTACTAAATCACAAAAACCATAGTCCTTGTGGATCGACCCTACTTCTCTATACTACTTTTTTATTTTTATTTATTAAGAAGCCGAAATTATTTTGATAGCAAAACGACGGTTATCATGCATCATTGGGTGCGTTGACGATCCCAATAGTGGTATCAGAGCCACTTGTACGATTCAGATTCAGGTTAAAATTCTTGGGTGATGCAGTATGTATAAGATGCATGATTGTTTTATCTTTTTCAGTAAGTATATATGATATAATTGTTTGATTCGATAAAAATATGTTAATATGTGTAATGAACTTTACAATCAGTGGTTAAGAGTTAATCATGTATTTGTTACTACAAGGGTTTATGATATTCATATGTTAATTGTTGACATAGTGATCGGTGGGTATGTGATAGTAAATCGTTTCTAGCAAAGGAGCAATGGTTTTTCTGATGCTAAAAACCTTCGAGAGTGAAAAATACCAAAAAACATGATTATGTTGATAAATGTTATAAAATCATGAGGTTTTTTCATTGAAATAGTAAGTGTTGTTTCTCAAAATTATGCCCTTTGACCCCTTCGTAGGCAACATAGATTGTAGTCCCATATTGGTAATTTTAGCAAATGTGTAATGACATATATATATGATATGTTTGATTTGCAAAGTATTTTACATGTATGATTATAGTCCTTTTAATATGCAATGGTTGTAATTTATAAATAAGGCATGCGTGTCGTGCCTCACTATAATTCAGTTGTATTTCTCTTCTCATCTAACTACCTCGTATGTAAAACAAGTTTATGAAATTTTAATCCTCTAAAGATTCAAATGAGCAGAAGAATTGATTGACCTGAAGGCGAGAAGATGCTTGAGAAGAAGTCTTAGGTTTTAGGATTATTGGTTCTCCTATTGGCTTGGGATGGTCCACCTTAATTATTGTTATTTTGGGCTATAACCATTGCATCTTATTTACTGCTTATGTTTATTTTGTATGTGATGCAAAGTATGATATATTAGCATACTAATATGAGAATGAACCTTGATGAGATCAATAAGGGCCTAATATTAAAATGAACAATGATGAGATAATTACGCAAATCCCTCTAAATAATCTAAGAATTTTAACCATCAAATATTTACCCTCGTGAAGGCTTCAATCAACATTATGTGGGTTTTTCTAAAGCAATGGCACATGAGTCTATCTTAGTTAAACGCGAAGAATAAGCAAGTGATATTCACCGGTTGAAATATTGGTAATAACTTAGCTAGGTTATTCTAATAGGATTAGAAACGTAGAGGTTAATAATTTGGAGAACATTAGATGATTTTAACAAGAGTTGTTCATCAAATGGAAGAGTTACATGCGATGTAGTTAGTAAGGTGTTACTTACCTAAATAACCATTCTCCTAAAAGAAAAGCTCAAGCTGATTTGGGAAGAGGGTGAAATATGGATCCTCACTCACTAGAAAAACTTTCGAGATGTTTTTCCAAAATTAAACATGAGGGTTTTAATTTTGAATAAAATAGTGGGAGTAATTTATTAATAAATACCTATTTATAAATTTTTTAACTCGGTAAATTTACTTACATTGTATATTTTCATTGTTGTAGACTTAATGGAAAACAACAAACTTTCATTGCGATTGATCCTTGAGAAGTACAAGCTAAATGGTATAAACTTCCTTGATTGGTTCCGTAATTTGAGAATTGTTCTCAAATAGAAAAGGAAGGAATATGTCATAGAATAACACGTTCCTGATGAATTGACAATTAATGCTTATAGAGTTGACAAATATAAATTTAAGAAACGTATGAATGATATGTTAGACGTGGGATGTTTAATGCTTGCCACCATGACTTTTGAGCTTCAGAAGTAACATGAGGACACGATTGCATATGAGATGATTCAAAATCTCAAGGAATTATATGAGGGGCAAGCAGGTCAAGAGAGGTACGAGACCTCTAAAGCTCTATTTTAATGCAAAATAAGTGAAGGATCTCCTGTAGGAGCTCACGTCATCAATATGATGCGCGATATCCAAACGTTGGAGAAGCTGGGATTTTCACTCAAGGATAATTTACCACTGATGTCATCTTGTAATCGTTGCAGTATAACTTCAACCAATTTGTCCTTAATTTCAATATAAATGAAATTAAAAAGACTTTGCCACAGTTGTTTGGCATGT